TGTTGTTGTTGTTCAGTCGTTCAGTCGATTCCGACTCTTCGTGACCTGATGGACATTTGCGCGCCATGCTTCTCTGTCGGTGACCATCTCTTTGAGTTCTTGTATGTTCTTTTCCATGACATCAATAATGGTGTCCAGCCATCTTGTCTTTTGTCGACCTCGCTTGCGATTACCTTCGATTTTTCCAAGCATCAGGGTTTTCTCTAATGATTCATGTCTTCGCATTATGTGGCCAAAATATTTGAGCTTTAGTTTCATCATTAATGCTTTTAATGAGAGATCTTGTTTCACTTCTTCAAGTATTGAATGGTTTGTTCTTCTTGCGGTCCAAGGTATCCTTAGCAGTTTCCTCCAGCACCACAATTCAAAAGCATCAATTCTTCGTCGATCAGCTTTTTTGATGATCCAGCTTTCACTGCCGTATGCTACAACGGGGTATACCATGGCCTTGACAATACGTATTTTCGTTGGTAGTGTGATGTCTCTGGACTTTAGTATACTGTCCAGATTTGCCATAGCCTTTCTTCCAAGGAGCAACCGCCTTTTGATTTCGTGAGTTCAGTCGCCATCCATGTTGATTTTTAAGCCAAGGAATATAAAGTCTGTTACTGCTTCGATTTCTTCATCATCTATACGTATTCCATTTACGTTACCAGTTGACATGATCGTGGTCTTCTTAATGTTAAGTAACAAACCGGCTTTTGCACTTTCTTGTTTAACTTTTAACAAGAGATTTTTCAAGTCTTCTTCGTTTTCAGCCATGAGAGTGGTATCATCAGCATATCGGAGGTTGTTGATTTTTCTTCCAGCAATTGTGATTCCAATTTCTGTTTCTTCTAGTCCAGCATTTCGCATGATGTGTTCTGCATACAGATTGAATAAGTAAGGTGATAATATACAGACTTGTCGTACACCTTTCTCTATTTTGAACCACTCAGTTAGTCCATGTTCAGTTCTAACTGTGGCTTCTTGGTGAGGAATATAAGTGTTTGAGTAGGCAGATGAGATGATTTGGTACACCCATATTGTGAAGTGATATCCATAGTTTGTTATGATCTACAGTCAAAGGCTTTAGTGTAGTCAATAAAGCAGAAGTAGATATCTTTTTGAAATTCTCTTGTTTTTTCCATTATCCAACGAATATTTGCAATTTGATCTCGAGTACCTCGGCCTCTTCTGAAACCGGCTTGCACATCTGGTAATTCACATTCCATGTATTGTTGAATTCTGGCTTGCAATATCTTGAGTATTATTTTGCTGGCGTGTGGAATAAGTGCAATGGTTCGGTAGTTTGAGCAGCCTTTAGCACTACCCTTTTTTGGTATTGGTATATAAATTGTTCTTTTCCAGTCTTTTGGCCATTGTTGTGTTCTCCATGTCTGTTGACAAAGTGCAAGCAATACTTTAACTGCATCATCTTGCAGGGCTTTTAGCAGTTCAATTGATATGTCGTCGACCCCAGAAGCCTTGTTTTTAGCAATGCTTTCTAGAGCCCATTTGACTTCACTTTCCAAAATGTCTGGTTCTAGTTCTGTGGCCGTACCTTCGAATGTGTCCGTGATGCTGGAATCTTTCTTGTNTCTTCTTCTTTTTAACGAAAGAATTTCTTCTTGTAACTAATAGAGTCATATCATTAAAAAAACATTTTTTATTGAGGGTGTGGGTGTGGGTGTGGGTGTGTGAATATGGGTGCGGACGTGGGTGTCCGCCTTCTTTCACTCACAACCCCACACCCCACCCACACCCACGCCCACACCCACACCCACACCCCACACCCACACCCCACACCCACACCCACACACCCCACACCCACACCCACACACCACACCCGGCACCCACACCCACCCACACCCATCTATAATTTTTAGCCAACTTGCTATAATAATATGAATTGAATAAAGTTCAAATTTATAATAATTAGTTGTTTTTTGAAAATTGATGCAATCAATTATTTTTTATTATCAATAGTAATATCTTTTTTATTAAGAAAAAAGTCCTATCTTCAAAACTAGTCTATTGTTTCTGTAGAGTTGCCATCTCCATTTTTCTCCATCAAAGTATTCAATATTTTCAGTAGAAAATTGAAAGATGTGTTACTCATGTTTTCTATATTACAATAACCGTATGCATAGCAGTGATATACATGCTACGGTTACTATGCAGTACCATGTCCATGGGTCTCTCCTTCATAGTGATATTTTTTTATTTATTGCCTTCTCATTGGTTTTCATTTTGACGTTTCATAATATTCTACTAGTCGTGCTCAATGGTTGTGTTGTGGTAGCTTCACACAGATGAACAATTATTTACTCAAAATAAAAAAATGCTTACCAATAGATGTATATCTTTGATTCATTAGACATTTCAAAGAACACATTTTAGATTAAACTACGATAAATACATTATAAATTACAAATGTATCTATTTTACAATAATCAAAATAGCTAATAATAAAATTTTCTCTTGCTTGCTGCTTCATTTTTGAAGATTTAAGGCTTCAAAAATGAAGGAAAAGTGGAAAAAGAATAAGTTATTTCTAGAAAAGATAGCTTTAAAACATGAGAGAATAGAGGAAGGATCAGTGGATGGAAGCAATCTTAAATATATTTGCATCCAACGATTGCACTATCTTTTGAGTATAGTTCGGTTTCGCATTTAAAATGAATAAAAATTGATTTTGTACTTTAAATGATGCATTTTAAATTATTTGTCTTATCATTAATACCACCAATAATTATCATTGTTTAACTCTTTGAGTCCTGAATTTTGTCTACAAAATCAAATTTGATGAAATTACTAGAAATTATAGAGTTGGATGCGCTGATGACGTTCTACTACAGGAGAGGTTTTGATAATCTGCAGTGGGTAGAAAGTAAGCGAAAATTCTAACGTAGATTTCAAAAATAACTTTGCCATTTGAGTGTGACTGTAGAAGCACACACTTCCACACACACGCACATCCAAATTTTATATAACTACTTTTGATCTTTGTAATTGTATTGGTGTTATGAAATAACTGTTGTTCTTTTTTCTGTTCTGTTTGCTGATGTGTCCATGTATAAAATCTACATTGTGCACGCGTTTTGTGTTCAAATTGTTGTCCTTGGCTGTACAAGAAAGTAAGAAATTCTTCAAATTTGTATTGATTTGCTTATATTAACGACCTATTAAATGAAAATCACAACAAAAAGAAAAACAAAGAAACAAAGTACAAAACGAAGACAAAAATCTGCTCCTACAGGTTTGAATGGAGCATATTGGAATGTAAGTGTTCTAAATCGAAGGCCTTTTTCTAATCATTCTTGAATTTGATTGTCAGGATGCTCCAGTCGATCGTCACAAAAATCGACCAATATTCGAATTTGTGTCAGAATCCGAAAACACTCTCATCTATTCAAATAAAACATTTTTAACATGTCGAAGTCCGACTAATTCATTTTTTCTTTGTCAAACTCTTCAAAATGTTTACAGAGATACACAACAAATTCGTATTCGATGGTATTCATTCGTTGATGAAAATCAAGATGAAAATAAAGTCGATGAAAATACATATTTCAAAGAAAGTTATCCAGATACAATTGAGATCGAAACAATTCTTACTGCAATAGAAACGGTCAATCGTTATTCGGATAAAACAATTACATTACACAAACAAGATATTGTCAAAACTAAAAGTTTATTACAGAAATCAATCAAAGCAGAATCAAGTGTTCTTAAGAATACTAAAAGCAAAAAGCGAAAAGTAACTATCAATAGCGATGTTGCTTCACCCGTAAGAAAACGACGACGAACGGTTGATGTTAATGGTATTGAACAAAAAACAGTTCCTAAGAAATCAAAAGCAAATTTATTCAAAGTGCAAAGTAATCGTTTTCTGAAAGAGAATCAAGCTGTGACAGACTATCAAGTTGATCCGTTTTTTGAATTAAAGTAAAAAACTGATTCTTTATCACTAGAGAGAATTTGTAGTAATGATCTCCTTTTTAGTGTGTCTGTTCCATTCATATCATCTAGTGTTCAGAGTAAACTAGCAATACGTGCTGTACTATTAAATGATGCAGATCTGTTGAAAAGTCTTATTGATGATGTTGATCGTGTATATTCGGTAGGAATCAATGAATTTCACAGTTTGATTGTTGTATATTTTATTTTTTTTTGTAATTATAGGTACATATTAAACGTGACCTTCCAAAGAGCTTTTCAGCTATTCATTATGCAGTTAGAAACAATAATATTGAATTACTTGAAATACTCATAGAAGATTTGTTACATCCAAAAAGCGGCCGATGTTCTTATCCAGAAGTAACTTTGAAAAAACAAACAACAGGAAAGTAAATAGATTTGCAAAATATGAACGAGATGATGAGTCTACTTGAATGCTTATTTAATTAGTGCAAGTATTCGTACTCTTGGCTTTCTAACAGCTGAAATTATGGCTAGTCGTGGTGCTCGTGAAGGCAATAATGCATTGCTCAAAGTATGGCATTGATAATAAATTGATGTTTTTATTTCTTTATTAAAAAATCAGTGTAGGATACAGACAATGTGTTCAATCGCTACGATCTAAAACAGACCCTCATATTTGCGATGGAAAATAATTGTTCACGTGAAGTTTATGATTTAATTCGTAAAAATTCATACGTAATTGGACATCATATTCTTAATACATAGAAAGAAAAATTCTCTTGCTTATTAATTAGGGTTCTGATGTTTATGATAATATTATTGTGTGCATCCAAGCTGGTCATCGAAAGTTAGCTGCTAGTATTATGAATGATATAAACGTTCTCAGTCATTATGGATTTAATGAGCTTCATCATCAAGTAAATCAAAATCTCAAAATGTTGAAAACACACTAATTCTATTCGTTCGTCATAGGTTTTGAGTTTTGATCAAGAAGATCTCACTGTTAACAGTGCATGTGACGTTATTAAACAAACGAAAGAAAATTTTCGAGTAAGACATTTTATTCGAAAAAGACATTCTAATGAATGTTTTAGGTAACACCTATTCATTGTGCTGCTATCAATCCAAATGTAAAATATTTGAAACAACTATTAGCGATTGTGTCTGAGTATAATATTAGTGATAAACAAGAACAAAAACCTATTCATTATGCTGCTGCCTGTGAAGGATGTGAACCATTGGAATATCTGTTATCAAAGTAAAGCCTATCAGAAGAGAATATTCATATTGTTCTGTAATATTGATCTATAGAGATGTCAAATTTAATGAAGTTGATAAAAATGGCAATACACCATTACATATTGCTTGCAGATATGATCGTCATTCTAATGCAGAATTATTATTACGAAAAGCAAAAGAAAAGGCTGAATCCAATGAACCAAATGATCTAGTCGAACATGAAAAGTATGGTCTTGCATCAATCAACCGAATGAATGCAGCCAAACAATGTCCTCTTCATATAGCTGCCATCAATAATCATATAGTAATTTATTTTTATTTTTCACCATATCAGTAGAATCTCTGCGCTAATTTTAGGAATGTATTGAGATCCTTATTCAATATGGTGCAAATATTGATGCATTTACAAGTATATCCACTGAAAAGTTAACACCGCTTATGTTTGCATGTCAAAATGGATATCTTAACATTGTCAAATGTTTAATTAAAGATGGAGCTCGAGTAGAAGCACGTGATCGTTTCAAACGAACACCATTAATTCATGCTTGTATGTATGGACATGCACATATCGTTTCATATTTACTACGCATCGGAGCTAATCCAAATGTATTTGACTCATCGATGAATTCAGCTTTGCATTATGCTATTGCTTATGGTTGGTACTTTTGTGTTCGACTACTAATGGAAGCTGGAGCAAATTCGAATTGTGCAAATTGTTGGCAAGTTACATGTCTTGGAATCGGATTTTCCAAAGGCCATTATGGTATTTGTGATTATCTTTTAAATGAACATCAAGTAGATATCAACTTCAAAAATGATGAAGGTCTAACAATAGTTATACTTACAGTTGATTTAGATGTTTCGAAATGGTCTGTGCAACAATTAGAATATGCTGTTGTGAAACATAACGCTGATTGTACATGCGTTGATATTAATGGCAGCAATGCTTTTCATTATTTAGCATCAAAATCAACTTTAGAAAGCGACAGTAACTTATCTAAAAAATATTATTTTCGAATGGCTCAAATTTTACTGGATCACCATTGTAATCCTAGTCAAATGAATAACAAAGCACAAACACCATTGATGCTTGCACTTCAATCGAAAAATTTCTTTATGGTTGATTTTTTAATGAATCAAGCAAAGGTTGAATTAACTCTGGATATAAATTGTGATGGAAAAACATTATTGCATTATTTTGCTATGAATAGTGATGAAGAAAAAATTACTGAAACATTATTGAATTTACCCGTGACAGATGATTTGAAAAAGATGAGTCTAAAATGTGATAACGAAGGACGAACACCATTTGATTATTGTACTTTGAGATATGAAGAACTTTTTAATAGACGATATTATAACTATGGCAATTCACTTAGCCAATATCGATCGATAATTAAAATGATTCGATATTTCCTTGATACACTCGGATGCGATAATGACGCATGTATTTTTCATTTATTATATGAAGGCCCTTCTGGCAGTTCAGTCGATGAGCATCCATTAGAAATTCTTCTCAAAAAATCAAAAAACATCAATGTTCATCATTGTGAAATAGGTGAAACCCCATTATTGCGAGCCATTCATCATAAAAACTATAAAATTATCCACCTACTTCTTCAACAACCATCATGTGATGTTAATCTAGCAAAAATATCAAATACGTTTGAAGGTGGACAAACCCCATTGATGATCGCATGTAAACTTCAATATTTTCCTGTTATTCGCGATCTGTTAAATCATCCAAAATGTGATCTTCTTGCATACGATCATCAACATAACCAAGCTTTACATTATTATCTAAATATTACAACTCGTTCTGATGAATATTTAGAAATTTTTCATTTATTTATCAAGAAATTAATTACTATTGATAAACATACATTGAATTCAAAAGATAAATCTGGTAGTACACCATTACATATCGCTGTTCATCATAACCAAGGTACTGTTGATACGGTCAACGTTGTTGAACAAACTCTAATTGATAATGGTTGTGACTTATTCATTAAAAATGATCTTGGAAATATTCCATTGCATAATGTCTTCTTAGGAAATAAAAGCAACAACGATCCTGTCGAACTTTGTGTTCTCATTATGCAAACAATGAATTATGAATCATTAGATACGAAAAATAACGAAGGAAATACTCCACTACATCTTGCCGTTTTGAAAGAATCTACTGTTTGTATAACACTTCTACTAAAACATGGTGCGAATTTATTAGCTGAGAATAATCTCTTAAATTCTGTTATTGCTGATTGTATTGCAATGAAGCGTTTGAATCTTCTAATTACATTTCTTCAACAAACAATCAATATTGATTTGAGTAAAATGTATCATAAATCCAGTTCATCGATTTCGAGCGAAGAAGATTCATTAATTTCTTTGATAATCAAGCAACATGATTGGCAAGGAGTTTTATCGTTGATTCTCGATGATCTTGATCATTTTCATTTAAAATATATTCAAGTGTTAGAAGCAGCCATTTTACATAGACAATTGAATCTTGTTCTCCGTCTTATGGCAACCATTAAGAATCGAACTGTCTTACAAGAGAAAAACCCTCACGAACAAAATTTATTTCATATTATAACCTTGAATAAAATATCTGATGCAAAATTTTTAGACAAATTTTTCTCTTACCTTTACAATTTCAATGTTGATTGGAATGTTGCAGATAAATATGGAATGTATCCATTACACTATGCTTGTTTGCTACACTATAAACCATTGATTGAATTTTTACAGAAGAAATATTCAAAAGAGTTAGATTTCAATCAAACAAATCGAGACGGAAACACAGCTTATGGTTTATTATTTTGGAATTCAGCTACAAATAAGGTCATTGACAAAGGTTTTCTGCGAACCATTATTACATCGGGTAAAGCTCTTGATTATTTATGCAATTATGATAATCGCAATGTGAGAAACCCTTTATCATTCAATGGTATCAATACATCATCAAAAAGTACTATTCCACAAACAGCTGTTGATTTAGAAACTACATCAACAATTATACGAACATCACCATTGATCAATGCAGTAATTCATCATAATTTTGAATTGACAAAATTCTTGCTTGAACTTGGTGCTGATGTGAATTTTCCTGACGAAGAACAGCTAACTGGATTGATGCATGCTGTTCGACAGGTAAACAAGACCAAAATTGATTTCATACTTTTCTAACATTTCTAACATTTTTAGAATGACATGAACATAGTAAAGCTATTGCTTAATAAGGATTTTATGCTTGATGATGACAAACGATCTTTAACAAGGAGATTTCATTCACGACGACAAAAAGTTCAACGAAAATCAAAGCCAAAAGGATTCTTTCTTGGTGTTACGACTACTTCTATTGCCGATGTGGAAGAAGAAGAAGAAGAAGAAGAAGAAAATGAACAAGACATGAGAAATGAGGATATATCTGACGATAAGGAACCTATGAATGAGTGGAAGAAGTTTGAAGTTACGTCCAATATTGACCTAGATGCTACAGATGCATTTGGCCGTACATGCATCCATCATTTAGTTCAACCATTTCCCGATGCTTCTTATGTAAATTGCATCGAACTTCTCGAATTACTGCATACGTCAGGCGCTTCCTTAACTAAACTGGATCGAATGGGTTTCTCACCATTACAATACGCTGCTAAGAATGCTGGTTTTCGACATTTATATGATAAACTAAAAACATTAACGAATGAACCATCGATGGATACAGAACATTTAACGAATCAGCGTTTTATTGTTAATGATCCAAATAAGAATTTACTTGGTCCAACAGATTATTATTCAGATGCTCAAACGTATATCAATCAATATATTGCTGCTCGTCCTCTAGACGATGAGAATAGCATTCATAAAGTTGATCCATTGTCGAACATGAGTGAAACAGGAGGTATTGTCTGGGACACAGAAAAGAATGAACCTTATGATGTTCGATTAACTATTACTGATGTAGATTATGGTCTAATCGGTTTATATAATTTTTATCGAATGCAAATAATCAAACATAAAACGAAAACAAATTTTTATCTTCTATTTACACGTTGGGGACGTATTGGTGATGGTGATGGACAACATCAATTAACACCTTATTCATCACTCGAAGAATGTCGAGCTGAATTTTGTAAAATCTTTCGTGACAAAACTGGTAACCCATGGGAAAATACAGATCAATTCGAAAAGAAACCAAAAAAATATACATTAATAAAGTTAAACGATCGTCAAACACATAAACATATGAATGTTCCCATCCTCTTTCAACAATTAGAGAATGAAAGTGAACAAATACCATCAAAATTACAATCAATAGCCTATAAGAACTTTTTCAAAACATTTCTCAATGATCAAATTATTCGAGAAAATATTAACAAAGCTAATCTAGATGTCGAATGGATGCCTGTTTCTCAATTAAAACCTGAAAGTTTACAAAGAGCACGTGATATATTAGCACAACTAGCAGTAAATATTGAACAAAAAGACAAACTTAAATTAATTATTCAACAAACTATTTCTGATGAAGCTCAAACCTCATCAGTTGAGTCTACAGATGAAAGAACTGAATTCAAACGTTTAATTGATTTGATTTGCCGACTTAATAATGAATATTATAGTATTATACCTTTGCAAGGTTATGGTGCTGAGAAAATACCTATGATCGATAGTTTAGAAGCTGTCAAGATACAAGAACAAAAACTTACTGATATATTTGAATTAGAATTATCTTATAAAATTCTTTTAGCTGCACAAGCCAATTTAAATCAAATATCACCATTAGATTATTTGTACAAATCGATTAACTGTCAATTTGAAGCTATGAATCAAGACGATATTGAATCGCAATTTATTCTACGTTATATCTGGGCAAGTGCACCCAATATTAAAGTCGAACAAATACTCAAAGTTGCACGATCTAATGATGATGAACGACTTTTTCAACGGAATCTGGATAATCATTATTTATTATGGCACGGTACAAATATTTGCAATTTGATTAGCATATTGACACGAGGTACCCATTTCTCCACAGAAATATCAATCACACAATACGTCCTACTTTGCTGCTTTTTTTAAGGACTTTTAGTTGCACCTTTATGCGCAAAAAGTACTGGAAGTATATTTGGAAAGGTAATCTCTAAAGTATAGTTTAGATGCATGTTCGTTTATTCTCTTAGGGAATCTATACAGCTGATGCATTTATCAAAAGTCTCAGCTATTGTTCCGGTGTTAGGCAAAGAAATGGTGAATGTTATTTCATGTTATTATGTGAAGTAGCATTAGGCAAACATGAAGAAATTACTGATATGAACGCTGATCAAGATAAGCCATTGGATGTCGATAAATATCATAGTCGTAAAGCTCACGGTCGGCTAATACCCGATCCACGACACACCATTACGAGAAATTACGGTTTGCTATAATGAATTTTTTTCATCGAATTTTTACTAATACATCGAATATCTTGCAGGTACTCATATGCCATTAGGCCAGTTGATTTCTTGTGTACATTCAAACCACAAATATCATCCATGTACTTACAATGAATACATCGTCTTTGATGAATCGCAAATTGCACTTCGTTATATTGTCCAATTTCGGCGATAAGACGTTTTCTATCGTTACTTTATTATTGATTATAGAAGCACTTTTGATTAATCAAGAAGTAAATTTCACGAATAAATAACATAGCATTAATTCGATTATCTTATGTTTTGTTCTCTCTTACTCTGTTATCGCTAAGAAAGCAGCGTGACGCCATGGGGGTGTGGGTGACAGTGTAATTGAGAATTTCAATAGACATCCACCCACATCTATAACCTATTTTCATTGTAACATCGTCAGTTTGTTTAGCTATTTCAAAATAAAAAGAAAAGACATCGTTGGGTGTGGGTGTAGGTTCAACCAATGGTCTCCCACATGCATACCCAAACCCACACCCACACCCACACCCACACCTAGAGCTTCGAGCATCACCATCATCCGACACTTTCATACTCGATAATCTTTCTTTAATTTCTTCAAAACTAGGTCGATCATTTGGATTATTATTCCAACACTTTTTCATAAGACTCCATAGCTTATTATCACAAAGGTGTGGTTTTGTAAGTTTCTCATTATTTAGTTTCATTCTTTTAACGTCATCATCTTTAGCAATTGATGAGTATGGAATTTCACTATTTGATAAAGCTTCTCAAATAAGAACATCCATTGAATAAACATCGGATTTTTCTAAAAGATTCGAATGACGATCCTTTCGAAGAATTTCTGGTGCACAATATCGAATTGGAATAACTAATTCATTTTCATTTGACCGTGGATGATCAATCCAACGTGCAAGGCCAAAATCAGTAATTTTAACTAGATTATTTTTTGGTTCAGATGGATCAATCTGAAAAACAAGTACATTTCGACAACCTAAATCACCATGTACAATTTTTCTACTTGCAATATAACTCATTGCAACAGTAACTTGTATAAACATTTGAACAAGCATTGGTACAGTAATAGTGAACTAGTTGTCCATTAGGCAACCAGCGAGATCACCTTGTGGTACGTATTCTTGAACAAATATCGTTAAATTAAATGAATTTTCGACTGAACCAAATGTGTGAATAATGTTATTATGATCATTAACTTCTAAATAGAAGTCTACTTCACGTTTTGCTATTTTTTCGCTCATTTCGATAATTATAATCGCTTCTTCTCTCTGTGATCCATTCACCGAAATAAATTTTTTTCTCAAGCATCATATAAAGTTGACGGCCCTTTCGAATATGATCACCATATTGATATTCTTCTAATTTATATTTTGATAATTTAGCCATTATCTTCTTGAGTATATAATTCTGATAAAATTAATCTAATAATCATGAACTCTGAAAAATAGCATCATATTTTGTTAATTAATAAAATTTTAAATTTTGAATTGATTTAACAACTTAACCCCAAAATTCAATGTTATATGCTTAAAACGACTCTTAAATTCCCTAAGAACACTTCTATTTTCAGACTTAATATTATAATTAAGTGAATAGAACAATATAGACTAGCTCTAGTATTTACTATTAATACATATTCATCGGGCAATGGTGGAAATGAAAAAAAAAACATTGTGGCTCTAATTCATGCATAAATCTTTTAGAGATTATTAAGTACATAATGAAATAAAAATTCACAAATATCTTTGTTTGAGTCTGTTTTGCTTTGATTAAAAATAAAAATTAATTATGCAAGACCCTCTTCCATACGCGCTATTGTTTATTATTATCAAAGTGCATTTCTCCATATATTTATCTTTTCTATTCATGTATTCATATCAATTATTTTATTACATTTACATCGTTCTATAACATCTTCCTTTTAATAACTTATTTGCTTAAAATTCTAAGAACTTCTGACGAAAGACATATTATAGTCAATATTGCAAAAGTTAAAGTTTAGTGAATATAGAAATCAGTGTTTGACCCGAGCCGGGTCGCTTAACTGTTGACTCATATCAAACACTGCTATAAATGATCTTTCTATAGACTTATGCTTCATCTTTTATTAGACAATAATCTATCTGTTAAACGTGTTAACATTCCTTTAAGTTTTATAACATTTTCTACGGTATATCTGTTCCCATTCACGAAAGCAATTACTTAAATATGTGTAATAGAAACCAATGTAAACATAATAAAATAGTTTAATATGTATAAATGAATTGACAAAGCTTTGAACCAAAAAATATAAAAATACAATTTTTGCTCAACTCTTATTATATGAATCGGAGAAATTCGTACTTTGATTACTACAAATAGACTATAGATTTCAACGAAGTTCTATCATTCGAAGATGGTTCTAGGATAAAAATTCAAGCATATTATCTCGTTGATTCGTTTCAATTCATCAGAATCTTCCTGAGTTGTATATTGTCTAATACTCTTACTACATATAATTTTTTATTTGATGATGTGGTTATAAAAGGTTGATATATCTTACCGTATTCATCGGAAGCACAATGATCTTCCATTTTTTTCGTTAAATTTAGAGCCTCAAATAATATTACAGATATCTGTTTTAATGTAATTTCATTGTAATACTGTAAGTTCGCGACTTGGAAGTAAAAGATAAAATAGATGAATATTTTCATAATGCAATCATGAAACTATTAGAGGAACAACACATCGTGATAGATATAAAGAAACACAGAAAGAGAGCAATAAATTTGAAAGACGACTTTTATCGGTACAAATGGCTAGTTGTGTTTGAAGACAACGAAAAACTACTTATGTCAAAGTGAATTATTCATCAAATGAATAGTTTACAAAAATTGTCAAACTGTCTTCGCGAGCAATACAACTAAACTTTCTCTGCACTCAATACAAAAGTTGGAATAAAGTGTTATAACGATGATAAACATATTTTCAATTACTACAGGACTAATTGTTGCACGAAAAGAATTTAACAATGTTTCTTAACATTGCATTTCATCATCTGTAATTTTTTTAACATCGACTACTCTTAATCATTTAAATCTACTTCATTCTATCCTTACATAAATAAGTTCTGTTGTGCTGCAGCCCTATATCTATATGAAAATTAATTCTTTTGAAGTGATTCATTTTTCTGTATGATATGAAATATTTATCTACTTGTTAGTAGATGTTGATTTTATAAGGAGGCATTTTTTATTCATAGCAGAAATATTAAATAAAAATCAACGAAACGAACAAGTACTGTTTTTCCTTTCATGAACACACCATACGACTCGGTCAGACAAATATTTCTAAAAAAACGTATAAACACGCCAAATAGTAGAAAAAATACCGCTATTTTTGCTCATTGTACATTTGAACTTATTTTCAGTAATATATAACCGTTCAGGTTAACATTAATTGGCGTTCCGTAGAAAATTAGTATTAGCGTGTTACATTTCCGATGTATTATTATGTATCTCAATTTGTCTGATTGATTTTTTGATGTTTGATCGTCTCACAGCCACTCACGTGGATAGAAATATGTTTAAATGCACAAAGAGTAGGAAAAATTGAATGTTTTTTCTTTCAATTACAGTTCCTGATGATGACAAAAGATGATCGGCATTTTTTACTTTTCTTTGCTTGTTTATAGGCATTTTTAGAAATACTTTGCTTGTTTCGAAAATTTTCGTTTCATACGACTTCGTCTTTCATGTATACTTTATTTTTGTAACATGACAAACAATATGAAATATTGTTTTACCTTGATGGTTATCAAATAATGTGATAATCTTCGTAAATAATAATAAGATATATTCATGCTTTTGTTTTATATTTGCGGAGACATCAAATAAAAAAAATATCTACCTATGTCTTGCATTTACTATAGAAATAAAATAAATACACAAACAAACATTCAAAATAATCAGTCATTCGCCTCAGAATTATATATCTAATCTTTTGACCATATAACTATTGGAAGAAGGTCAATGTTCATACCATTATTTGTCTTTGTTCTTCTTTTCGAAGCATTTAATTTTTCTAGCAAATCTATTCTGTATTGTTCAATGATAAATAAAAGAAAAGCATACGCTACGTTTTTTCTTCATTCAATATTGACATCATTCTTATGTTTTGATTATTACAATTTACCTTCGCGTTTACTCTTCTGAAAAAGTATAAAATGTGCACATGTATGCTTGTCTTTTTTCTACATCATTCTTCTCTTTTAATGCAATTTTTAGGAACAAGAAGAAGAAGAATGAAAAAAAAAACAATACTCCAAACTCTTGATGACAAATTCATAAGAAATAAGTTTCTTTTTCAATAAATAATTTCAATTAATTATAAGAAACCAAACAATATGATATAGTAGAAAATCTGATCATGTAAACATTTTATTATTAAGTTAGACCAGTATTGAAAATAAATGTATGAAAAAATTATTCTGTTTGTTATGATTATGAATGGTCCTGTCGAAATATTTATATCAGTTTCATTTTCTGTTACAGATCCAGATATATTTAAAATAACACAATATAAATATTAGTAAAGACAGTATTCGAGAACAACATGATAAAAGTGATGAATCATACTCCAGAACTTTTGTATTATCGATTAGTCATCCATATTTACTTTTAGTCTATTTGTCAAGAATTCGTATGCAATGTAAACTAGGAAGAAACATAATAAATTTTCAAGTTATAATTTGTTTTATTGATTAGTCTGAAGATTCAAATGATATCTGTAAACTTATCCAAGAAAATGTTTTAATCACATTTCGTTTTTTATATTAAAAAATTTATTACATCCTGTGTATGTTTGTGTTCAAAAACATTTTATGTTTATTTTTATAAACATGGATATAAATTGAATCAAGATTTTATTATTAACTTCAGTATATTTTTAAAAACCAGCACATTCTATTTCATAATGAATCATATAATGTTTTAGCAGCACATTATATGATTCATTATGAAGGTCAACTATTAATCCGACTCATTGCTGAAGTTGCTATAATGATGGAAGAAGATTTTAACCTGGTAAAAACCATGAACAAAATGTTCTATTGAAATAAATCGATCAAACTGAATTAATAATGCAATTAAGGCGGTTAAGTCATTCGAGAGCAATGAGTACAACTGACTGAAGTACTCAAGTTATTGCTGCTAATGATATAAAAAGGTACTTATGTAAAATGTACGTAGAGTCAAAGAAGAAGAACTTGCTCAGTCAATTTAATTAAATTATGATGTGGTAAACAAAAGCTCAGGTAGGATATTTTGTTGTTGTTTTTTTGAAACATTGTTCAAAACGCATTATTACGTAGATTTTAATGAGTTTATTATCTATTTATAATGATAGCTTTACTAGGAAAATTAGAGTTACTAGTAGAAATATAAGCTCATTAATTTAGCCGCAGCCACAATATGTTATAGAGGTATTAACTATCGGCATTCCCGTGAATAGTTAATGAAAATTCTATCTACTATTAAAATATTTAGTAGATTATTGAAAATTTTCCGGATTAGAATTATTTTTGATAGGTGCTTCTGTTCACTGTCTTATAGTGATGTTCTTGGCTATCACTAGTCTCCCTTTTTTATTCGAAAATTCGCTAGAACAAATAAAGTTGCCATTTGTATCTTTAGCTATTATTAAAAGCCAATTTGATGAAAAATTCTTATCTTCTGTTATTGTATTCCAATTATTGAGAACAATATTCTTACAAATTTACTCATGATATTTTGTTTTATATCAATTTTATTGAAAATGTTTTTTGTTTATTTCAATTTCATACAAAGAAAATGAATCAGAGATTATCAAGTTTATCATAGAGCTCAGTAATAATGACTGTATTTAATTTTTATTCGTTAATCGAAAGGGATCTAACAAGATATCCAAAAAATCTATTCTGATACAAATACATGACTAGTATTTGATGAAATAATGTGTTTCAAATATTTTTATTCACTGTGCAATTGAATAGTCAATTTTATGAAAGTTTTCAAGTATTCATTGGACACCTAAAATTATTTAAAAACTAAAAATTAAAAATTACTGGTCAAAGATAGAAATTTTCAATTAACTAGTTGAATTTGTACAATATTGTTCTGTATTCACAGTTACGTAAAGTATTTGCAATTAAAGCAATTATATGAATATTATAAATATTTCATTTATGTTAAAATAAACGTGGCTAAAACTTAAATTATTCTATTCAATACAATCAAAAAATGTTTTATCAATGTCAAACATGAAGAAACATCTATCATTAAAGTATATAGTCTACTATCAAATGTTTTTGTATATCCATTGAAACGATTACTTCATTCGAGAACAACACCAACTAACCGATTGATTTCAAAACAAAGTTAATGAATGATTTAAAAGATATTAAAATACAATAAAATATTTATACTTTTGTCATATTAACCTTTACCCGAATTATAACAAGAAAAACTTTCATTAGAAATAATATGAAAATATATATATTTTTTGATTTAAAAAAACTTTGGTATTTAATAGATTTAAGTAAAGTATCTTTTACATATACTGTAATCCATTTTTCATTATAATACATTAGTCTTCTCCTTTTCTTTTTTTTATTCGAGTGGCAAATTTTTCTTCTTTCAAGACAAGCTAATTCTATATAGTGAAACGATGAAATTGCATGAATGAATATTTTAAAAATGATTGAATCGATATCTAAAGATTTCATCGTTTTAAAGCGGAAGAAAAATGTGGGAAATATAAATTATAGAATTCTTTTAATATTTATTTAATTAAGAAAGGTAACACATAGCTCTAAGACAGAAGAGAATGACCTTTATTTTATCGTCATCTGTCGGATACTTTCATTGAATCATGTTTCATTTTCTATTCTCTATTCTTTTTACACGCATACATCCAGCTTCATAGATAGTAAACAATCAAAATTTTTCATCATTTTTTTTCAACAGAAAAAATATATATTCATTTAAAAAGTGTAATAGCAAATAGTTGACGTAGAGTTAATTACAAGTATGTTTTCATCTGATTTCTTTGCCTACATTATTATAGTAACTTAAGTTTGTTTTGAAATCAATAAGATGTATATTGCAATCGTTATTAGTATTGTGTATTTTCATAAGGATTCTTTTATGTAGGTGTGGGTGAATGCCGGTGTGTAGGTAAGGGTGTTGGTGTGGGTGAGTGTGGGTGTGGGGTGTGGGATGTGGGTGTGGGTGTGGGGTATAGGTGTGGGTGTGGGTGGGTGTGGGTGTGGGTGGATGTGGGCGTAGGTGTGGGTGTATCTTCACTTGGCTAGTCCCACACCCACACTCACACCCTTATATTCTTTATCTTAATGATATGATTCACATGTTCGCATCATTCATAGGTGGCGGAGTGGTTTCAGTCTAGGGATAGGCTCAACTTTTGAACCAAACTATATCTAACCATACAAATGAATAGTTGAAACGACCCTAGGGAAAATCTTTGATATTTCAGAGCCAGGCCCTTTGCAGACCTGACAAGGATCCTGCAAGGATTCAACGTTTTTTCCTGAGGAAACGGCAAATCCTGAAAGAAGTGTGTAGCCAGGGAATTCCAAGATCTTGTCAGGATTCACAACAAGATTATCAAGGATCTTGATAGGTTTACCATTATTTTTGAATTAAGATTAGACTAGGAAATCCATAAGTCTTGAAAGAAGTGTGTAGCCAGGGAATTGCAGGATCCGGACAGGATTCCAATCAAGATTTTTAAGGATCTTTACAACTTTGACATTGATTTTCAAATCAAGATTCAGCCAGGAAATCAATGATTCCTGAAAGAAATGTGTAACCACGAAATTGTAGGATCTTTTCAGGATTTCAATAATTCAAATTTGCAAAGAAAATTCTGATCACATCTTTCAGGATTTGACTAGATTTCCTCGAAGATATTATCGAATTTCTTGACAGGCTCTTTGTAGGATTAAGCTAGGTTTCCTTCAATATGTTGTCAGCTTCTTGGCAGGATCTTTGCAGGATTTTCTAAATAGAATATAAGTGAAATGAACACATAGAGTATTGATCTCTAGACCTTCAGTTTACATACCGATCAGCTTACTCAGCTGGATGTGCCATGTCATTCTATATCACTTCAACGTTCGATATCTTCATTTCTGACTTTAATCTAAATTTATTTTTTGCATTTTATGTAGATAGAAATTATTTCAACAAAATTCTGAAAACGGAATCTTATTTTACATGTTGATTTTAGTCGATGAAATTTTATCGTTTTTGAGAATTTAAATTCGATTTAAAAAATACATTCCAAATTTTTTTATTTCAATTTGCTTCAAAAAAATATATTTGCAATCTTTTTTGAATATAAGGAGTATGATTAGTAGTTTTTATCAAAAGATTTGCTACTAATTAAAATTATATATTTAAAGAAAAAATTTTATGATGATCAAATTCAAATTAACACCCTAATTTAATGATTTTCAGTTTTATTTTCGTACTAAGAGAAAAAAGAACTCAATATTGTAGTTCAAATCTAAAAGCAACTTCCCTAGGGAAAATCTTTGATGTTTCGGCCCCGGATCCTTGGAAGATAGGATCAAGATCCTGCAAGGATTCGATGTTTTTTCCTGAGGAAACGACTAAATCCTGAAAGAAGCGTGTAGCCACGGAATTGCAGGATCCTGTCAAGATTTAAAACAAGTTTATCAAGGATCCTGGCAAGTTTATCACTGTTTTTGAACCAGGATTAAGCCAGGAAATCGATGATTCCTGAAAGAAGCGTGTAGCCACGNGGGGCGTCCCCTTAAGAGAAGTAAAAATAATCTCGAATCAAAGAATAGATTTCACCTGTGTTGTGAAATAACTGTTGTTCTGTTTTTCTCTGACAGTGTCGTGGTATATAAAATCCACATGGTGCACGTTTATTTTCATAGCAACAGATGGAAGCCACAACAAAATCAAGAAAAAAATCTGCTCCAATAGGTTTGGATGGAGCATATTGGAATGTAAGCCTTAAGAATTCGATGGACATTGTTGAATTTCATTTTTAGGATACACTAGTCAATCGTCGCAATAATCGACCCACGTTTGAGTCCGTTTTGGAGTCTGACAACACACTCGTCTATTCAAACAAAACATTTTTAACATGTCGCAGTCCAACGAATTCATTCTTTCTTTGTCAAACGCTTCAGGATGTTTTAAGTGACACAAAACAGATTCGTATTCGTTGGTATACATTTGTTGATGAACATCAAGATGAACATAAAATCGATGAAAATACGCATTTTAAAGAAAGTTATTCAGATAAAATTGAGATCGAAACGGTTCTTACTGGAATCGAATCGGTCAGTTATCATTCAGATAAAACGATAACATTACAAAAACAAGACATTCGCGAAACCTGGACGTTATTAAAGAGATCAATCAAAGCAGAATCGAACACGATTAAGAGTACGAAAAGTAAAAAGCGAAAAGTGACCATCAGTACAGATGCTGCTTCAACTGTAAACAAACGGCGACGAACGGTCGATGTAGAAGAAGTTGAACAAAAACAACCGAAGAAGAAACGGAAAATTAACCTATTTAAAGTACAAAGTAATCGTTTTCTCAAGGAAAATCAAGTTGTGACAGATTATGAAGTCGATCCATTTTTCGAATCTGAGTAATGTTTGATCCAGTAGAAACAAAGATAACTTATGATGATATGTTTAGTGTATCAGTTCCATTCATATCGTCGAGTGTTCAGAGTAAATTAGCCATACGTGCTGTGATGTTGAATGATGCCGTATTACTCGAAAGTCTTATCAATGACGTTAAGCGCGTGTATTCGGTAATTATTAACTAAATTTGATATAATTCTGCTTAATTACACTAATCTGGTTCTTGAAGGTACATATCAGACGTGACCTGTCAAACAGCTCCTCAGCGATTGATTATGCAATTAAAAATAACAACATCGAATTGCTCAAAATATTGATAAAAGATTTATTGTATCCAAAAAGTGATCGATGTCCGTATCCAGAAGTGACTCTGAAAAAACAAACAACAGGAAGGTAATAATTGTCAACAAATTGAAGAAAGATTCAGGGCTTGTATACATGTTCACTTTTTAGTGCCAGTATTCGTACGCTTGGTTTTCACACAGCTGAAATAATGGCTAGTCGTGGTGCTCGGGAAGGCAATAATGCATTGCTCAAAGATACAGATGATATGGTCATGCATGATGGTGTAGAAGACATTCTCATTTCTGCGATACGACAAAATTGTTCAATAGAAATTTATGACTACCTTCGTGAAAAAGCATATGTAATGAGAAACAACAATCTTGTGACATTCATAGAAAGGAAGAAAATGTTTTTCTTTGTTCGTAATTAGGGCTCGAGTGTCTATGATAATGTTGTGACGTGCATTCAAGCTGGTCATCGAAACTTAGCTGCTCATATTCTGAATGACATGAAAAACCGTGGTCGTTATGGATTCAACGAACTTCATCATCAAGTAACATAAATTGATAAAAATCTTGATTATCAATGTCTTCGCTTTGCGTAGGTTTTGAGTTTTGATCAAGAAGATCTCACTGTGAACAGTGCGTGCGATGTTATTAAACAAGCGAGAGAAAACTGTCAAGTAAGAGCCTCTATTTGAGAGCGATATTCTATTGAATATTTTAGATAACTCCCATCCACTGTGCTGCTATTAATCCAAATGCCAAATACTTGAAACAGTTATTGGCCATTGTATCTGAATATAATATTGCTGATACAGACGACGGCAAACCTATTCATTATGCTGCTGCTTGCGAAGGAACCGAACCTCTGGAGTATCTTCTATCAAAGTAAAAACTATCAGAATAAGTCGTTGAAATTCATTTGAAATATTAATTTCTAGAAATGTGAAATTCAATCAAATTGACAAAGATGGAGATACGCCATTACATATTGCTTGTATTTATGGTCGCCATGCCAATGTCGAACTACTGTTACGTACAGCAAAAGAAAAGGCTGAATCGAATGAAGCAGATGACTTAGCTGAATATCAAAATTTCGGTCTCGCTTCAATCAATCGGATGAACAAAAGAAAAAGATGTCCTTTACATTTAGCCGCAGGAAATAACCATCTACAATGTGTGGAAGTTCTCATCCAATACGGTGCAACTGTTGATATATTTACCAGTGCATCGAAGGAAAAATTATCACCACTCATGTTTGCATGCCGACATGGGTATCTCGATATTGTCAAATGTTTAATTAAACACGGAGCTCGAGTTGAAGCCCGTGATCGTTTCAAACGAACACCGTTGATTCACGCTTGTATGTACGGTCACGCACATGTTGCTTCGTATTTACTTCGTACTGGTGCAAATCCAAATGTCTTCGATTCATCGATGAATTCCGCACTGCATTATACAATCGCTTACGGCTGGTATTTTTGTGTTCGATTACTGATGGAAGCCGGGGCGAATGTGAATTGTGCCAATTGTTGGCAAGTATCATGTCTTGGTATCGGATTTTCCAAGAGTCATTACGGTATTTGTGATTATCTTCTCAATGAACATCGAGCTGATATTAATTTCAAAAACGATGAAGGCCTAACAATAGTTATTCTTACTGTTGAATTGGACATTTCAAAATATTCTTTACAACAATTGGAATATGCCGTGGTCAAGCACAATGCCGATTGCGCATGTGTTGATATGAATGGAAACAATGCTTTTCATTATTTAGCATCGAAGTCATTAGCTGAGAGGAACGATGCGACGTCTGAAAAATACTATTTTCGAATGGCACAGATTTTACTCGATCATCATTGTAATCCAACTCAAATGAATAACAAAGCACAAACACCGTTGATGCTTGCATTTGAATCGAAGAATATTTTTATGATTGAGTTCTTTATCAATCAAGCAAAGGTCGAATTAACGTTGGATATCAACAGTGATGGAAAAACATTTTTGCATCATTTTGCTATGAATAGTGATGATGATAAACTGGTTAAAATACTGCTGAATTTACCGGTAACCGACGATATAAAAGCGATGAGTGCGACATTGGACGCTCAACAAAAGACACCGCTTTATTATTGTACCTTCAAATATGAAGAACTATTTGGGAGATTCTCGTATAATCCGGAAAATCGGCCTCGTGAATACCAATCAATTTGCAAAATGATTCGATATTTTGTCGACAAACTTGAATGCTACGATGAAACATGTATTTTTCACTTATTATATGGAACTCCTCCTAATAACAAAGACGATGAGCATCCGTTGAAAATTTTCCTTGAAAAATCTAAAAATATCAATGTTCATCATAGTGAAACAGGTGATACTCCTTTATTACGAACGATTCACGCGAAAAGCTACAGAATTTTCCAAATGCTGCTTGAACAACCGTCATGTGACGTCAATGTTGCTAAAATATGTAGTACACAAGATAACGGACAAACTCCATTGATGGCTGCCTGTAAACTTCAACATTTTCCTATTATTCGGGATCTTTTAAATCATCCAAAAAGCGATCTTCTTGCTTATGACGATCAGCACAACCAAGCTTTCCATTATTTCCTATCTACAGCAACGCGCTCGGATGAATATTTAGAAATTTTTCATTTATTTTTCGAAAAATTAGTCGCCATCGGCAAAAATGCGTTGAATTCAAAAGGGAAATCTGGTAGAACACCATTACAAATTGCTGTTCTTTATAATCAAGGCACTGTAGATACGGTTAATATTATCGAACAAACTCTCATTGATAACGGTTGTGATTTATTCATCAAAGATGATCTTGGGAATATTCCGTTACATAATATCTTCTTGGGAAATAAAGCCAGTAATGATCCCGTCGAAATCTGTGTTCTCATCATGCAATCCATGAACTACAAATCCTTAGATACGAAAAATACCGAAGGAAACACAGCATTACATCTTGCTGTATTGAAAGAATCAACCGTTTGTGTAACGATTCTATTAAAACGAGGTGCAGATTTGTTGGTTGAAAACAATCTATCAAACTCAGTCATTGCTAATTGTATCGCACTAAAACGTTTGAATCTGTTGATTACATTTCTCCAGCAACCGGTCGATATCGATCTGAGCAAACGTTACAACAAGTCCAGTGCATCGACTTCTGCCGAAGAAGATTCATTGATTTCCTTAATTATCAAACAGAACAATTGGCAAGGAGTTTTATCGCTTATCCTCGACGACATTAGCCGTTTTCATTTGACATATATTCAAGTCTTAGAAGCTGCGATTTTACATCAACAATTAAATCTTGTTCTTCGTCTAATGGCGACCGTCCGAAATCGAACTGTCTTACAAGCAACAAACAGTCATAAACAGAATTTATTTCATATCACAACAATTCAGCAAGTGATCGATGCAAAATTTATAGAAAAATTCTTTACATATCTTTACAACTTTAATATTGATTGGAATATTCCTGATGAATACGGAATGTATCCCTTGCACTATGCGTGTATTCAACATTACAAACCATTGATTCAATTCTTACAGAACAAGTATCCGGAGAAATTGGATTTCAATCAAACCGATCGATATGGAAATTCTGCATATGTATTGTTATTCTGGAATTCTGCCGAAAGCAGTTCAATCAACTACGGATTTATTCAAACCATTGTTACTTCGGGTAAATCTCTTGACAGCTTATGTAATTATGATAATCGTACCGCGAGAAATCCCTTGGCATTTGAAAGTACTAAGAAAGTTTCACGAAAAACCAATCCACAAACACCGCTCGAATTAGAAAATCCATCAACGATCATTCGAACATCACCATTGATTCATGCAGTTATTCATCGGAATTTTCAACTGACAAAATTCGTACTTCAATTGGGTGCTGATGTAAATTTTCCGGATGAAGAACAACTCACACCATTAATACACGCCATTCGACAGGTAAACTCGATTGATAATGATTTCGTGGTATTGAACCGGCTTTTTCATTTGTAGAATGACTTGGATATGGTGAAACTGTTGCTGAATAAAGATTATGTGCGTGACAAAAAAAAACGATCTTCGAAGAAACAATCTCATTTACGGAGATCGAGTGCACAGCGGAAATCAAAACCTAAAGGATTCTTTCTTGGGACAACGACGAATTCAGATACTGATGATGAAGATGAGCAAGAATCAGAAGAAACGGAGACATCAGATGACGATGAATCCGAGGACGAATCAGATGAATTTCAAGTCACGTCTAATATCGATTTCGGTGCCACGGATGCACTTGGTCGCACGTGCATTCATTACTTAGTTCAACCATTTGCCGATGTTTCGTATGTAAACTGTATCAAAATGCTAGAGTTACTACATAAATCAGGCGCTTCATTAACTAAACCTGATCGAACGGGTCTTACACCGTTACAATATGCCGCTAAGAATGCTGGTTTCCCACACTTGTATGAAAAACTAAAACAACTAACGAATGAACAACCAATGGAAACCGAAAATTTCGCATATCAACGTTTTACAATCAGCGATCCAAATAAGGATCTACTTGGTCTGACGGATTATTATTCCGATGCTCAACAGTATATTAATGAATGTATTGCTGCTCGTCCTGTGGACAATATGAATACTATCCATAGAGTAGATCCATTGTCGAGTATGAGTGGCACTGGCGATCTTGTCTGGGACACCGATAAAAACGAACCTTATGATGTCCGATTAACGATCACTGATGTTGATTACGGTCTCATTGGGTTATATAATTTCTATCGAATGCAAATTATTAAACATAAAACGAAGATGAATATGTATCTTCTGTTTACACGGTGGGGACGCATCGGCGATGGTGATGGTCAACATCAACTGACCCCTTATTCGTCATTGGAAGAATGTCGAGCAGAATTCTGTAAAATCTTTCGTGATAAAACTGGTAATGTATGGGAAAATACGAATCAATTTGAAAAGAAACCAAAAAAATACACACTCATACAATTAGATAATTCTCAAATGCATAAAAATACCGATGTTTCGATTGACTTCCAACGATTGGAAGATGAAAGCACACAAGTAACATCAAAATTACAATCCGCAGTATATAAAAACTTTTTCAAAACATTTTTCAATGACCGAGTTATTCGGGATAATATCACCAAAGCGAATTTAGATATCGAGTGGATGCCTTTGTCACAGTTCAAACCTGAAACTCTACAAAGAGCACGTGATATCTTAGCTGAACTCGCAGATAATATCGAACAAAAAGATAAACTTAAATTAACAATCCAACAGACAACTGTCGATGAAGCTCAACCTTCAGTACCCGATTCTGTTGAAAAAACTGAATACAAACGTTTAATTGATTTGATTTGTCAACTAAATAATGAGTACTATAGCATCATACCGCTACAAGGCTATGGTGCTGAAAAAATACCTATGATCGATACTTTGCCATCGGTTAGGATACAAGAACAAAAGCTCACTGATATATTTGAATTAGAATTGTCCTACAAAATTCTTCTAGCTGCACAAGCCAATTTGGATAAATTTTCACCAATGGATTATCTATATAAATCGATTAACTGTGAATTTGAAGCTATGAATGAGAACGATATTGATTCACAATTTATTCAACGATATATCTGGGCAAGTTCGCCCAATACCGTAGTCGAGCAGATATTCAAAGTTGCGCGACCTAATGACGATGAGCGACTATTTCAACGAAATCTGGATAACCATTATTTGCTCTGGCACGGTACGAATATTTGCAATTTGATCAGTATACTTACACGAGGTACGCATTCTTTTTGCCTGCATGAAAATAAAGCAATGGTCTCCGATTATGTTTTCAGGACTTTTAGTTGCACCTCTATGTGCAAAGAGTACTGGCAGTTTATTCGGAAAGGTAATGAATAAAGAAGATTTTTTTACTAATGTTCGTCTCCGCTTGTAGGGAATCTACACAGCTGATGCATTTGTGAAAAGTCTTAACTATTGTTCTGGTGTTAGACAAAGCCATGGTGAACGTTGCTTTATGCTGTTATGCGAAGTGGCATTAGGCAAGTCTGAAGAAGTCATTGATACGAGTGAAGAACCATTAGACTCTGATGAATATCAAAGCCGTAAGGCTCATGGTCACTCTATTCCGGATCCACGTCTGACTATCACTAGAAATTATGGTGTTCAAATGCCTCTGGGCCAGTCGATTCATTGTGCTAATCGAAAGCATAAATATCATCGGTGTACTTACAACGAATACATCGTCTTTGATGAATCACAGATCGCACTTCGCTATATCGTTCAATTTCGACAATAACCATTTTCTATAAATTTTCTTCTTGTAAGCCATGGAACTTTTGTTTTTTAATCAGTAAATACATATTATTGAGTTCATTTTATATCCCATGTCTCGATCAACTTATTGTAGGATTTATTTTTTATGGGGAGCAATAGACTTAAAAAAAACTATTCCCTCCGTTCCTATACACATATTCTCAGCGAACACGATCATAATGATGTTGACAAAATATTATCCGATTCATTTATTTCAACTACTTTATTTGTATCAATAGCACACGCATCTTGAACAGTAATAATATGTATATCTGGTGTTTCATGTATAGATGCTGAGTTTGTTTTGAAGTAATAATGAAGTTTATTTTTATCAGACATTTTGATTTAACATATGAAGAAGCAAATAATAAATGTTGTGAAAACAAAATAAGACAATGAAAGCTGAATAGAAAGTTCGTTATAGGAAAATGGTATTTGAGAGTATTAGCGATTATATTTTGCCAATTAAATGCAGATTAACTTGATTTTAATTGTCATGGCACCAGTAGATGGAAGCCATTCCAATACCGGGTAACTAGTTTTAGAACGAAATGAAGCAATTCAATCGGCAATTACCTTAGTGGTTTTGTGCGACTGATCAATTTTATAGATGGTATGCCTCACAATGAGGCCTCCGGAGCAGACGAGAAATATGATCATATTTTAGTTGAATGAAATCATTCAACAGGAAAATGATAAAAAGTCTATTAGATAATGGTTGATAGATCAGACCTCCTATTTTCACCTAAAAATCATATAGAATCTATATATTTGTTCTTGCATAACTAGTCCTCCACCAGAAAACTGCCGCTCTATTCCGGCGGCAATAGCAGGAATCGATAATGTGAGATGTGCTAAGCGAGATAATCGCAAAAATTTTTCGTGTTGATCCTACCAAAAATTCAATGGATTTGGTGATAACTTCGCTTCGTCTAGTTTCAGGCTCAAATAGCGATGAAATTCGTCTACAATAATGTATGATTGAATGAAGAATCAGCGGTGAATATTGTCGAACTATACTTACTTGTTTTTCTTGTGTTACATCCTATGGTTTAAAGATCGAAACGAAGTGAATTTCAACCTCCTCGCTGCGCCACGACAGTTGCTTTATTTCTGCAGTATTTTGCTCATCCTTCCTGCTTGGAAAAAAATACAGCACCACCATATAATAGACGGTCACCCTAAATTGAGTGCCACCTCGGAAAGTTCGATTTGGGATACATAATAAAAAGCCATATCTAAACTAGGGACACCCTTTCTGATACTTGAAACGATAAAAGGTCATCTCTAAGACGACACCACAAAAAAGTGACAGATTTATTTCATTGCAATTTAAAGACATGCTTTTTATTCTGAGAAGAGGGCGGGTATTCTGTTAATTGACTTTCATTCATGATACATGGATACTGACTACTGACATACGTTTCAAATGAATGAGGATTTATGCTACAAATTTTCATTTGAAGTTTATAATATACATCTCGACCCCGTCTCGTTTTGGTCTCTGGTATGGTTACTTTGATTTTGCATTTTGGTGGATCGATCTGCGAGAATCATTGTTTAAAAGTTTGATAGCGCCATTTTTCATCGATACTTATGAATTGATAGTACCGTTCTCATCTCTGGTTTAAATGTGAGTTTCGACTAGTGTGAAGCGATTGAAACTATCAATCTTCACATTACTGATGTATTTCGTAGGGTAGGAAGAAACTACAATTGTGACGAAAAAACCTCACCGAAAAGAGCATTTTTGTATGTAAACAAGTGGCTTCAAAGTCTAGATAGTTAAAATGAATCGTCATAATGTCTGAAAATACAAACTATTTTTAACACGAACACTTCATCGTTGAAATTAAACACAATCAAATTTAGTTCGCCTTTGACAATATTTTTCATCTCTGATATTGTAAACGATAAATCTTCTCAATCTAGTGATCACCAGCATTAACAAATTTGATCGTTGCGTCTCTTTCGCCATGTTTTGCTTTGTATGTATCGAACAGACATATCAATGAGTTCATATATTGTCGATGGTATTTATCAATAATTTGCTCAGTTATCTGATCGCATGATAACTTCGGTAATTCAATAGGTTTCCCAACATAGGAGTCGATGGGTCGCCGCTTGGGCATAAAACCGAAATAATTTTGAAAAATACCGCGTCCCTTCAAAAGTGGCATTGTATAGCCTGTCATATTTTTCAACAGCAACTGGAAACTACGTAGTTTTGATCCACGTGGATTCGCCAATTGTTCATAGAGATCATTCTCTCCAAAAGAAAATACCGGCACAAGACTAGCACCATATGCAAGACCAAGTTTAACAAAACCTTTGCGATCTTTAAGTGTTAAAATATATTCGGATGATGAATGAGCATCTAGGATTTCTTTGACGCCACCCAATACCAACATCAAACTATTGCCGTGACCTTGTCCCAAGATATATTGACATGATTCTTTCGATGCATCAGAGAGACCGAGCATCGATAAATAAAAACCAACGCATGGCATAGTCATATTGGATTTCAATGTAAGCAGTCGAATGTCAATACCAGGGAATTTCTTTGAAAAATCCGTTGCTTCCGTAGCAAAATTCACAAAGGCACCTAGGGATATGATTCCATGAGGATGACAACCGAATATGTATGAACGATCAGCCGGTAAATCGCATGTTTTATGCAGTCGAATTGGAAAATAACCTAAGAGCATTCAGGAAATATTGTGAAGTAGGAAATTTCAAGTAACATCGACCTACCGGAAGCGAATTTCCACCAAAATGCTCGACGAAGCCATTTTTGTCTGAGACGGTTTTGTTGTGAATATGCTCGAAAGAAAATCATTCGTGTCAAATAGATAGTTACGACAAAAATACAAATCAAGCCGATAAAAAGAACCAAGTCCAACGATAGAAACAGTGACAAGCATATTGTAGATAGGCAAAAGAGAACGAACAAGGCTTCTTGATTAGCTGTATTTTTTTTATTGATCCTGGTGACTCCATAGTGAATTTTGGCGGTTGCAGGGGTTTCTGTATCGTCACTTTGTTCAAACTTGCTATTTGCCGAGCAGATCGATTTAGAGGGTAGTTGTTCTTCAGTTGTAAACGACATTTGCAAAACGAGGGTTTTATCAAAATGAAATGTCACACGCAGCCATAAAACTACTTTTCTTCTTACATCTTATCTAAGTGAAAGTTAAGATGTTGACTACGTCACAAGTATGAGCTGAAGTGATGCAACTGCCTTCGTTATGAAGAAACCTGACCGTTCGGAATGTGAAAAATTTCAATGCATGCCACCTCCTCACTCTCACAGAGAATCGCAAGACATAAAATATGGATGAGACTTTATATTTATTCTGTTGAAGAGAAAAATCGGCGTTGAGACTCCGCTCCCCCTCATAAAAATCACGAAAATCGAGATAAATACATGGAAAGAACACCCACGCTTTACTCTACAAAACCTGATATAATCTTTTTCCTAATGAATTTTGTCGCTACCTCATTCAAAAAACCTACAAGCTTTGAAAAACTTCAGAAAACGTTTTCGCGGACTTTTCACCACATATCCCACTTTTTGTCTCTTTGATGTATTCAACTCCCACTCAAAATCGTTTTGTTTGAAAGACCATATCCGGATGCAGAAAATCACATTGTCCTTTTTTAACACTCGATATTTTTGACGAATTTTCGAGTGGTTTAATAATTGTAATGTCAGGTAGAGATGACGAGATGGCGCAGTGGTACTGTGCGCCGCTCGGCTGATAAACCATGTTCGGATCTGTATGACAGCAAGCTTTCGACGCCGGAGGTCTTGCGCAATATTTTTTAATGGGCATGACCCAACTTATGAGAATTCATTGCGATACATGTGTTGCTAAAACCGATCACTATCATTCCAAAGGATGGTGGACATGTAAAAAGTGTCTCCATTCAACAACGAAAGTAAAATTTAAGAATACTAATAAGCGAAGACATGAAGATCGTGGCTTCGACGCCTCCGGTGAAGCACATAGTAAAATAGCAAAGGGTACTCATAACATGCCCAAACGACATCATTAAAATAAAATTTAAAAAACAAAAAGAAAAAAATTTTTATCTCCCACTCTGCTAAAATAGATGCAAATTTTGCAACAGTGTAGTAGAGAAACCATTTAATTAAATTCATATGAACAGTCACTAATTCCAGGACATTTGTTTATATGATTTTCTAAATAAATGACAGAAACATTGTTATTCTGAGATAACAGAAAACAAGTATTTCAGTGGCGTTGTGAAATAACGTTTTTTCACCGTTCTGTTCTGTGCCGTTTTCTGCTCACTTATAAAATCCACATGGTGCACGTTTATTTTCATAGCAACAGATGGAAGCAACAACAAAATCAAGAAAAAAATCTACTCCAATAGGTTTGGATGGAGCATATTGGAATGTAAGCCTTAAGAATTCGATGGACATTGTTGAATTTCATTTTTAGGATACACTAGTCGATCGTCGCAATAATCGACCCACGCTTGAGTCCGTTTTGGAGTCTGACAACACACTCGTCTATTCAAACAAGACATTTTTAATATGTCGGAGTCCAACGAATTCATTCTTTCTTTCTCAAACGCTTCAGGATGTTTTAAAATGACGCAAAACAGATTCGTATTCGTTGGTATACATTTGTTGATGAACATCAAGATGAACATAAAATCGATGAAAATACACATTTTAAAGAAAGTTATTCAGATAAAATTGAGATCGAAACCGTTCTTATTGAGATAGAATCAGTCAATCGTCATTCAGACAAAACAATAACATTGAAAAAACAAGACATCCTCGAAACTTGGAGGTTATTAAAGAAATCAATCAAAGGCGCAGCGACTGTGAGAAAGCGACGGCGAACTGTTGATATCAATGACGTTGAACAAGAGCAACCGAAAAAGAAACCGAAAGCAAAACTATTCAAGGTACAAAGTAATCGTTTTCTCAAGGAAGATCAAGTTGTGACAGACTATGAAGTCGATCCATTTTTCGAATCCGAGTAATATTCGATTCATCGGGACTAGAGAAAGCCTATGATACTGTATATAGTGTGCCCGTTCCATTCATATCATCGATTGTTCAAAGTAAACTGGCCATACTGCGACACTTCCACATAAGCTTATTATACAACAGATATTATATCATCATTGTCTATGATGATAGCTTGTCTGGGTCGATCTAGTCGATTATCCCATTAAGATTCATCACATGATTTGTCCCGACGCATAACTACGCTAATGAGTGGGTGTTCTTCTCTCTGTCAGCAATAATACACTCCACATCCACACCCACACCGACACCCTTCAATAGAGGCATTTGTTCGATTCATTTTATAGATAGTGATGATAGAATATAGAACCGATGGGACACGTAAATCTTTATTGCATTTCGCATAAAATGAATTCGTACAAGTCTTATGTCTGTGATTGCTGGGGTGGTCGCGAAACTGCAAGCAACCAACTTCCTCTGATAGCAAAATGCCTTTGACTTTTCTGTACCATCGGTTGGTTTCGAATGTCTCTCCGTCGGTGGATGCCGACATTTGTACAACAAACCACTAGTATAGCCGTCACATGTTCTGCCAGTACTATAGAGAGAAGTATAAATCATACCTGCTAAGCATATTATCGACCATTTTTTAGTCACCCAATTGTTGCTAAATTTTTCATTATTATTTTTGAGATCATGAAACGCTCTATCTGCGCAAAAAAGCGGCCAGGACATCAAGAATCATAGTCAGGATCGGAAGTACCGAACTATCAAGGTCGTTGGTTTTTCTGTAGAAACTTGGCATTGTGGTCGTTGGAAACTTTCGAGCGCAGCATATTTTCCTTCACATTTTGTAGCTCTTGAAAAGTTCTATCTTCCCTGAAAATATAAGACAGATTTGATAAACTAACGTGGTTAATCTGTGAGAGGGATTTCGATGTTGATAATGCTTCTGTCATAAGTAGAAATGTCGAGAAGAGGTCTCGAAACATGGCCTGAAAGAAGTCGAAATGCTTTATTCTTACGTAGAGGAAGATGAAATTCAATTTTACAAAGTGTTCTGAGATGATTTTTATTTAGAGCTGTTTTACGTGCAACCCACTCACCTTCTTTATGCTTCTACTTGTTCTTTTTGTGCTTGGTTATGTTTTTAAAATGAAGATTTCATCATTAAAAAGTAATAAATGTAAATACACAAAAATTTCGAATATAGGATTATTGAATTTTTTAATAAAATATTTGTAAATGGCATTCTCGTTTATTTTTTTCAGATTAAAAATATGAAACACTCTAGTTTTTATATTAAAATAAAAATTCCACACACAAAAATCAAAGATTTATTGATTGATGCTAAATAAGCGTGCATAAAAAAAGAAATGCCACATAATAAATGGAGAAATAATGATAAAGTTTTAAACTTTTCAAATCACACATAAAATAAAATAATACGGCATACTAGTTAAGACTTTTTAAGACCAATGACATACATCGCACTTCCAATTTTATCGACGATATACTAAAAAATAATTCAAGTTAAGCAAATATAAACATAAACAAACAAAAAATAAATGTTACTTTAGCATCAGATATAGTTTTAAATTTAATTAATTTTCCAAATGATGTTTGCGATCTTATAGTTCCAGTTGCTTTTGGTTCCTAAAAATAAATTTTTAAATATTAGAGTAAATTATATCCTATAATTTTATTGATATCATGAATCAAATAACGAGCATAAATATATGATCAGTCTCATATAATATATATCCTCTACAACAGATAATGATATTTTCTTTCTTGCTTTTGATAATACAGATGATTTGATTTTGTTCTAGATATTTCTGTTGTTGTTTCTTTTAATGTGATCTTATTTTTCTTTCTTTACTTACTTTGGTTAAAATTTGAATTTGATTTGTATTTATTTTTATAACTGATTCTTCTTTTAAATCTTCATATGATATTTCCCAATCGAGTTCATAGAAACCAGGAGATGATATTTTAGTTACAAATAATAATCGTCTAAGAAAATTCTTTTTTTTTTGTAAACAGTAGACAAATTTTATTAGTTTACTTAGATGCTGCCATTAATCAAGACAGCGAACTTTCAGAACAATTGATATGAGCAACATATGTATCCGATTTGGCATAATTTCCATCCTCTAATCGCTAAAGATTTATTTTAAAAAAACAATAGAATTTAAAAGTATCATGATCTAAATTAATGTTACCTTAAAAATATAAAATCCCATAGCTTCATCAGTAATATAAGGTCGAACAATACCGTCACTACCAACATGACGTGGATAACGAATGCGAAGAACGATTTCTTCTTGTAGAACAGTTCTGAAAACAAATTCAATTGAAACATTTTATTATTATATATCTTTTTATCGTTGTTTAAAAGTATGAACAAATAACTTTCTTCGATTCATGACGATCGATGGTGTAAGATTTTTCTTTTTATTATTATTTCTTATTTCTCTGAGTCATAATATGATATTGAATTCAAACAATAACTTATATATATATTAGTTACAGATTCTTTCAAAAAAAAACAGAGCAAAAACTATGATGTTATATCGAATAAGTTCAATCCATTCAGAATATAGATGATAACATAGAGAACAGAAATTTTCAAGACGTACTTCTATTGATAGACAAAATATATGTTCGAAATATCATCATTCGACATTTTTATTTCTATTTTTGTTTGTATAGGTCACAGAATACAGGTATCCAGTGACAATGGGAAATATTATATATCCTTTAACTTTATTAATCATCTTTATGTACAGGAATTATGTGTAAACAATGAAATGTATCTATAAACAAAACTATCTTACCTTTTAATTAAATCGAGTGATGTACTAGCAAAATCTACAACTCCACCTGTTGATCGTGCAACAAAACCAACGACACCTTGCCCTAAACCTTTGAAGAAGCCAGTTGCTCCATCATGTTTCGCTCCTCTTATTGATTTTGTTACAACACCCTTGAAACCATCAGCAAAATTCTATTTTGAAAACAGAAAACAATAAGAAATTTCAAATTTTAACATGAAAAAAATCAACAAACTGTAATAACATTCTTTCGTTCTAAAGCAATATGTGTTGTAGCAATCCCTCGTGGTTCTTTACGTCGGATACGTAAAACTTTATAATCTTCATCAAATGTTAAACTTGCTAAACCTTTTCCAAGTACACTAGTTATTTTTCAAGCAGCACCAACAGCTGAACCGAGTAATGCTCAAAAACCGGTTGCTACACCTTCAGCAAATTCCAATGGATCTTCAATTGCACCTTTAAAAATTATATTCAAACATGATTATAAACTTTTTAATTTTACTTTATATGGTTCATAAAAGAATGATTCAACTCCTTCTGCAAGATCACGAATAACACCTAATGGATTTCAGAGTACATCAAGTCCAAGTACTAATACATGAATTTGTTTTATAAATTGATTTTGATAATGAGATAAAACTTCATTTGTTATTTTTGTTTTTGTAAATTTTTGATGATTTTGTTCATAATAGTCTAAACTAAAAATTAAAACAATCAACACTGATTCTATTAACAAAACTCAAAATTTCCTACCGTAAAACAACATCTTGTACTTCAGTAACGTTCAATGTTTGTAAAAGAAATCCAACTAGTGTATATTCAGCTAATAACTCCTCACTTGGATTTAATCCATGCATTGAAAAATTAACATGAATCTAAATATAAGATTTTACTTAGGAAAAACAAACGAAAATAAATTTATTTTTAATACTTTAAGTGATGATAAATGAATATTATCAAAAAACATCTCGGTTTCACCCGATGGACTTTCAATTTGTGCTTTAATAATAGCATTAAGTGGTTTTTGAATTTGTTCTAAATCACTATTCATATTGATTGTTGGTGCTGCATTAATCTATTACAATAAACAAAAACAAAAACAGCAGAATGAATAAACATAAAACAAGAAAAACAAACATTTTCTGGTTTTAAAAAGTTAAGAATGGCAACAATTAAACCCTGATCAATTTGAACAGCAAACTCTTGAATAAGCATTTTAAAATATTTAAATTGCATTATATTTGATTGTGCTGTTTTAGATTGATAAATACTTAATTCAATAAAAGATTTTTCAACATAATCGAATCCTGTTCCTTTTGTAATACTTGAATGAAGCATAACAGGAAATATTGTGTAATCAAGTTGATTATCAATTTGTACATGATTAATACGTATGTGTATTGCAGAATCTGATGCTGACCATGCATATTCAATCCATAGACCATCTAATGCTTGTCGTTGAGCTATTTTTCTATGTGTTTTCGAATGAACTAATTCTGCTGTTTCACCGTCAAATGAAACTTCCTTTAAAAAAACACATTTTTTTAATTTTCATTTACAAGAAAAATAGAAAAAAATGAATTATACTCGAAATCCTTCCATTTGCTTTTTTTTCTTTTGAAGTTCTTTATTATCAGGATTCATTTCACATTGTTCAACATGAGTTGTATATAATTCTTCCAAAAATGCATTTACACTACGTGATAATGGTTTAAAACGATTCCTTTTCATTTCAGTCCAGACAACTTTTGATTTATTTAAACTTATATAAAGCATTTCTTCTCGTGTTATATCATTAAAAATAGAAACGCCAATATCATGTATACCAATCTGTATATGTTGATCCATAGATTCACCCATTGATAGTGTCTATATGAATAATAGTTGATTTATATATTTTTATTTACATAAAGATGAAATTCATACTTTTGAAACTGATTTCATTGTTTTTTCNAAGCCCTAGAATCAAAAATGGATTTTTGCGCAAGCCCAATACCCGCGCGTGTCAGAGACATCAGGAAAACTTTGCAGATCTAACACAGATTTTCCGAAATGTCGTAAAGCCAAATTGTTTTCGTGGTTAGAATCCTCCGTCAGCTCCTCTTCAAACTAATAAAGAGATTTTTTGAAAACGATTTTTCTCGCTGAGAAAAGCAATTTTTTCAAAATCCGTGGCGAAATGTTTAAAAATTGCACTCGTATTTCGAGATTTGCCTATGAGAATTTGATTTTCATGCAAATGAACATCATATTTGCAATCAGAATAAAACATTGCATCAAACAACATATATTTTATCAAAAAATATATTTCGTCGAAATTCGACCCGTGGGGGACCGCAGGGTAAAAATTGTGTAGAAAAGAGATCAGGTGGAGTATCGTCGAATTTCGACGAAATATATTTTTTTATAAAATATATGTTGTTTGATGCAATGTTTTATTCTGATTCCAAATATGATGTTCATTTGCATGAAAATCAAATTCTCATAGGCAAATCTCGAAAAACGAGTGCAATTTTTAAACATTTCGCCACCGATTTTGAAAAAATTGCTTTTCTCTGCGAGAAAAATCGTTTTCAAAAAATATCTTTATTAGTTTGAAGCGTAGCTGACGGAGGATTCTAACCACGAAAACAATTTGGCTTTACGACATTCTGGAAAATCTGTGTTAAATCTGCAAAGTTTTCCTGATGTCTCTGACACGCGCGGGTATTGGGCTTGCGCAAAAATCCATTTTTGATTTTAGGGCTTCGATAGCTACTTCTCCAGATTCAGTTTTCGATTCTGAATCTAGTGAATTCACTCGCAAGTCGCAAAAATGAAAAGCGAAAAAGTTAGAACCATTTTTTCGAAGGTCTAAGTTTTTTGGACTTCTGACTCTCTTCGAGTATTTTGAGGATAGCTGGGCGATGAAATGGTCTTGGCAGTCGGTGACGTGCTATTCGTGATCTTCACACGATTCTCTATAGAATGGTGTGTAGAAAGCTGAAGAAGAAAATTTGCTCGACTTCTGCATTCCGTGAATCTTATAATCAACGAAAGAGCTATATGAATGAACTCAAGCAGTATTATTGAATTGCAAGAATGTGTGCACCAGTCATCCGTCGGGCATTCTCTTCGTTAGTTTAGTTTCTCTGAGTCATTTCACTCAAAAATCGATGTACATATATTGGAAAGAAGCTATAATCCTTTGAAAAATATCAATTTGTTCGGCCTTGTTGTTGGCTTAAACTGTGAGAACGTACTCTGATCTGTTGTTACGATTCAACGACATACCTTTAGGTTCGGATCAAATTGGACTAATAAACATCATTTAGTAGTTTTAAAAAACCTGTGAGCGGGTGAGGGTGACTTCTCAAGTGCCTTTCTTGTACAAACCATGCCTCATATCTTATTTGTCATGAACTAGTGTTGCACCTAATCGATCATGAGAACGATTTGAGGAACTACGTAGTATCAACGTGCTCGAATTTGTTATAAAATGTTGACATAAACTTTTATCTGACTGGTGTGAGAGAGGACGGCCTTGTGTGTTAACTTTGAAAAAAAGATAAGAAGTAAAAAGCATTGACAAGATACATCACGAGGTCCACAAAATTATTTCACTCTACAATAGAGTTATTTGCAACAAACGTAAACTGTGAGTTGGTTTTTAAATGGAGTTCTCGTCTCTGACGTTTTTCAAACGAAAATGTCTCTGTATACTGATTTTTTTCAATCAAATGAGTCTTCACGTTGATTCTCATGATAAATTTTCGTAGTCAAATTTTTTGACTCATAATGCTGCAGACAAAAAAAAACTTGAGAGAAAAGTTATGAAAGCAAGTGGTTATTTAAAAAAAAACAAGTCCAATGATTTCTACGCTGAGCGTTACAAGGCCGATGTAATTAAGAGGCTTCTTAAATCTTCATCTCTTATTCTTTTTCTAGAATGGCTAACACGAAGTATGATATTGCCATTTATGATTACATCATTATTGGAGGTGGAACAAGTGGTGCGGTTGCAGCTCGACGTTTGGCAGAGGGAAAAGATCACTACAATGTGTGTCTTCTCGAAGCTGGTCCTAGGTTTGTCCTTTTGTACACTGCTCTCTTATTTAGACTGATTCATTCTTTGTATCAGTAACGAAGGTTTAGACAACAGTCGAATGCCTGGTGGTGTATCAACGCTGTTGCAGGAGAGTGCGCTCTCTTGGGGATACGATACAGTTCCTCAGAAAGGATGTAACAATCGTGTTCTAACCGCTATACGAGGTCGTTTTCTCGGAGGTTGCAGTGGACTTAATGGCACAGTGATTGCCCGCGGTGTCAAAGCGGATTATGACCGAATTGTTGACATGGGAAATCCAGGATGGAGTTGGGATGACATGCTGCCTTATTTTAAAGCATCTGAAACGTTTCATCCGGCTGCATGGCACCAAGCAGACTTGGCTGCTCATGGTACGAATGGGCCTCTGCACACTGAACCGCATCCTCTGGCGCCTATCTCCGAAAAAATTCTCGAATCATTTATCGATCGTGGCTTTGAATACAAACCAGATATGTTCGTTCAAGGTGAATATGAAGGTCTGTTATGTTCATATTACACTATAAAGTATATTGATATCAGATTTCTCTAGGTGTTGGACATGTTGTTCGCACGATTCACAACGGTATTCGGACTACAAGTGCAGATTTTGTGAACAATTGTAAGATAGCAAACCTTACTGTTAAAACGGGTATATATGTCGACCGAATAATTCTGGAAAAAAATAACACAGACAATAGAGAAAATCGTGAATACAAGGCAGTCGGTGTAGAAGCGCATGACGATGCAAATGATCAACCAATAATCATCAAAGCGAGAAAAGAAATTATCTTGAGTGCTGGGTAGGTTGAACGCTTGAAAACTCTCCTTTACAGACAGTTTTATATTTCATTCCTTCTCTTGGAAGATCCTCGGCAACCGTTTTGAAAAATCTACCTTACACTTTTATTCTAACGATTTATTAAGCAAGGGTAATCTTCCAGAAGAAACAAATTACATCGTTTTCTACTATTACTATACCTCGTTTTTTCGGGACTGTGTCTAAATGCGCGAAAGAGATTTGTTTTATTTAGTGCTTATAACTCGCCAATAATCTTGATGCATTCCGGTATTGGCCGGAGAGATCACCTCACCGAAATGAACATCGAATGCAAGGTCGATTTGCCTGGCGTTGGCGAAAATCTTCTAGAGCACCCGATCGTATGCAGTGTTTTTCTCGACTCACTCATAGCATTATTTATGTGTCGTTTAGGTTTTTACGTCTTACCAAGTGAAGGATCCCAATCTCACGCTCGATCAATTTTTTACCCATAGCCCAGATATTCTCGCATTATCGATCAAAGAATGGCATGAAACTAAGACAGGACCCATGGCAAGCTTTATATTCGGCTGCTTTGCGCTTAAACGAATTGACAAGTCGATTCAAGATCCCATTTGGGAAGCAGCAAAATCCGAGCAGCAGTGCGATGATCCAACTGGACATCTACCTAATCAACCTCACATCGAGTTCTTGAATACTGAACTGTACCTTGATCCATCTCAACTTCTTCCGCAAGGTCAGTCAATTACGTTTTCTTCAGTTTTTCTTCCGAATTTGAATGGTTTTAGCGCCCTAAGAACAAAATTGACGAGTTGCGATGTACTGTGTATTTGAGAGTTTTTGATTGTCTTTGTGGATCGAGAATAGGACCGCCTTAAAGATTTTTTGTTGTCAAACAAATCTGCTAAATATCTATTGCACTGTAGGGTAAGGAATTTGAGAGCTCAAATATAAATGTAATTTGACTTTCTCGACAATCTGATAAATCGAATTTAACCAGAAATTAAAACAGCATTCATTTTGGATCTGAAAATTACAATGATCATTTTAAAGTAAACCATATAATCGTTGAGAAAGATCTCTTCAGCATATAATGGTTCGATAGAATTGGTTATCGTAAAAAGTATAGCTTAAAGAACATTTGTGATAGTGTCGGTTTTATATATACAGTTCCATCCAATGACGAAGGCGTCTTTACACTGATCACTCTTCTCTGTGGACAGCGAGCGAGAGGCACCGTACGGTTGTCGTCCAGNAGATGTACAGTTCGCTGATCTATGCAATAGGAATCTTACTAAATGTAGAAAGGTCTATAACTATCGAATATAGTCCATTTGAAGCTGAATGATTGTAGCCACAATGTCTTTTTTTTTCAATTTCAGGCAAACAGGTGTATTGTCCAATAAATTGTTTAAAAAACGAGATGAATGAAATCAGTTGACCATGTAATGTGCTTTTTCATTAAAAAATGATTTTGATCGTAGTAACATCCTTGATTAGGGATAAGTACGTAGAATCTTAATCTTAATCAAGACTGCTATATACAAAGTTAATTTATTTATTTCCCGTATTAAGGAAAGAACACTAATGCAGCATGACCAAGAGAGGCGAATGTGGCTAAGATTAGTGACAATTTTGATAAAGATCGAAGAGGATTTCATATCATTTTTATCATACTTCAGAAAGTTGATTCAATATTTATTGAAAGTATGACTTCAATACATGTGTATTTGAAGACAATTCAAATAATGATATCCAAGTTTTTATTCCTCTATTTTCAAATCTTTTTTTCTAAATTTTTCCTTCTCGTATATAGATATTAGTAGATTGGTATTCATGTTTTTTCGATAGATGCTCGATTTTGTTTTATAATAGGAAAAAAAGGGCTTATGGCATTCATATTGACAATTAGGCCTTACTAACTCTGAATGTATCAGTTAATTAAGAAGATAAAAGAAGAGGTCTACGTAGATTAGTGCATTCTACCTATAATAGCTAAAAGTCTAGAAATTTTAGTTGTTCAAAATAAAACTGCTGTTAAATTTTGTCTCAGTAATTATTTTTAAATAATAAAAATAAAAGAGTTCAATTTTTGAATTATTTTTCAAATGATTTTTAATAAACTAAAAAACGAAAATTTGAATAATTTAAATTCAATTAAATAATCTTTGAATTTTCGATTTTATGTTCGCAAATAATAAGATACAATTCATATTATCTTTAAAATCTGACAAAACACCCGGATCAACATTTCACATATCCAGTCATTCATCAATAACTATCAAAAATATTAGATAAAATTTCAAAAAAAAAAGATCTTCGATTACTGAACAAACAACGGAATGAGAATAGTTTTCTTTTTCTTCAACGCCATCAAAGAGGACGAATAAGAACAAAACTATTGATAGGGTTTGTTCAGATAATGAATAAAATTTGTCTTTTGACGAAAAAAACTCCATAATTGAACATTATTGTTATCGAGACAACATTTTTTTTTCTATTTAGAAAAAAAAACTCAAAAACCTCAACAGATTGGTGAAATGAATTACAACTACTGTGAGTCAATTTGATACTAAGCTTCGATGTATTTTTGTTGAATAAAAGAATATTTTTCATCATATGGTACTTTTCTTTCTTCGAAAAGATCAATCCATCTGAAATACAGATCGTGCCATGAGATCGTATTTGGGTGTGGGTGTGGGGTGTTAGTTGGGATCTTGCGTTATACCCACACCTTCCCAGCTAAGAGCGCATAAGAAAAGGCTGAGGAGGGGTACGCTTCAATTTTTGGCGAAATTTTCTTTCCCTCTTGTCTTGACAACTATTCAATGCATTTTGTTCAGCTGCTTCAGAATATTATAGTCATTTTGCTTGGCAATCAGAATTTAATGACCAAACTCCCTGAATACGGGCTGAATTTTTTATGTTAATTAGTGTTGATAACAAAAAAAGCTAATATCTGTAAAAATATCCATCTTTTTGAATAGAACCGCTGGTATATGATAGCTCTCATAATTCTGAAGAGATTTGTCAACAACTATTCACATGAATTATATTTCTGAACAATGATAAATATGAAATACTACAAAATATTTAAATTTCAGCGAAAATGATTGACACGTTCACTTAAAATGACGATAAGAAAATTCAGAAACATACTCAAGAAATTTTTATTGAGGTATATGTACGAATTTTTAGAAAACTTATAGAACCAATTGGACACAATCAACTCCTCATCAGAGAATTGATACCATTCTATACAGAGAATTCATGAAGGAATCTTATTGATGCGACATTATCTGAATAAACTACGTGCAAGATAACTGTCATTGATATTTCTGACTCTATAATCAGAAATATGTTCAAAGTGATGACAGAAATGTAATCAGATGACGACATTCTACTGTACGTCCGCATGCACAAGAATGAATTATTAACTTTAAGATCTAAGATATAATCCTATCATATGAAATATTGATTTCGATTTTACCGCCATCTTAAACATGGAATGTAATTTTTCAAACGATTTTCATCGTCAAGTCAGTCTTTGTGTCTTTCGAAATGAACGAATGAACCAATTTACGACGAAAATATCATTTCCTACGCACATTCAATTCATCAAATACAGATGCTAACTGTGGAATATTGTTGTAGAATCAATAATTGAGTCTTATTTTTCCTGCATTAATTAACTGAATTCAACATATTTTATCAAAATGTACTCGAAACCAATATACTAGTAGAATTAGATTAATAACTATAGACAATATGGTATAACTTTCTTCCTATTGTAATGCAAACTGACAAAATATACCCTATTTGTCTTAATAAGGATAATGGATTGTTTTTAGTTAAAATTGACTACTCAGAGGCTTTATTATTATTGAACTCACCATTCTAAATAATTTTGTTATTCAGAGCATTTCATACTTCATTATCGATTTCAAGAAACTTGCTTTTCTATTCTTTCAGCAAAGTCTACTGAGATTCTACATTCATCTCTATTAGAATGAATGTATATGCAATCTTTTTTCAGAGCTGTTTTTGCAAGTTTGCTAGAAAACTATAGCAATGACATAGAATCTTAAGATTGATATAGAATGATAGAAAAGACCTTGACCTATTGAATGGTAAAAGAAATCACTAAAAAATTGAACCAATTGTTTGAGAATTTATTTTTACTAATGATAGCAAAAGTTACTAGAATTTTAGATTCACTCCAATTGCATCAACAAGATTACGTATTCAACCCATCAAGGATGAATAAAATACTGCTCAAAGAACACCTTGTAGATAGATGTACTTAGATCTTGATTTAGAAATTTCCCCAGCTCATAGTGAAAATATTTTTCAAGATATTTGTGAAGAAAATTTTTGAAAAAAAATAAAAAATAGAAAAGTTGTAGCCAAAGTATTGAGTCTCATCATTTTTCCTTCTATTATGACCGCTCAGTTACTTTACTTATTTGATTCTAGAGTTTGTGTTCCTATTGATCTTATCATATGAAAAGTGTAAAAATAGCTGCTAGCAGGTGTATATATTCACAGAATAGAGAAAGAAAAATACTATCTCGCGTCTAGCCATATAAAGAAGAGGAAAAGGATACTATCCCGCATCCAGCCACATAGAGGGGAGAAAAAAAATACTACCCCGCATCCAGCCACACAAAGAAGAGAAAAAAGATACTATCTTGCATCCAGACATATAAAGGAGAGAAAAAAACGCAGCAGCTGTGTAATTGAAAAGACGTGTGCATACGCTTAATGTTTCA